TACTACCGTCTCTTCCCCTACCGCACTGCGCCCCTTCCCCCGCCGCCCCTCTTTCTCGCGCCAGGCCCCCCCCCCGGTAGATCCTCTCCCCCCTCAGGGTCCTGCACCGTCAGGTGTGTCCCAAGTAGACGCAGTCTAGCCTGTTGAGGTAGCTGTTGACTCTAGTGCTGCTATGGGTGCTGAGCTTGCGGGTGCGGGGTCTCGGGGTGCTGAGCCTGGGGGTGCTGGGTCTGGGGGTGCTGAGCCTGGGGGTGCTGAGCCTGGGGGTGCGGAGCCTGGGGGTGCGGAGCCTGGGGGTGCTGAGCCTGGGGGTGCTGAGCCTGGGGGTCCTTCGGGTACTTCGTCTCGGCGGGAGCTACCCTCTCCACAGGAGCTGCGCGAGTGGTTTGCCAGGCGCTGGAGTCGTGCTGCTGGAGCTGGAGGTGCTGCTGTTTCTGCTGCCCCCGCGGTCGGTGCTGGAGGTGCTGGAGCCACTGGTCCTGGAGGTGCTTGTACTGGCAATACTGGAGCTGCTGGGACTGGGGGTGCTGATGGGGCTACTGGAGTTGGTCCTGCTGAAGGTGCAGTTGGTGCTGCTGGGGGTACTGGAGCTGCTGGGGGTGCTCGTGCTGGAGGTACTGCTGGGGCTGGTGCTTCTGAGGGTCCTGGAGTTGGCGCTGCTGGAGCTGGAGGTGCTGCTGGCGCTGGTGCTCCCGCTGGGGGTGCTGGTGCTGTCTCTGCTGGTTCTGGAAGCGCTTTGCGGCCGCGGCCATACTTCGTTCCGCTCCTTGAGCAGGTTCTTGATCTCCTGCCTTCTACTGGTCCTCCTCCCTTAGAGTGTCCATAGCCTGTCCAGTCGCGGTCACAGTTCGAGCCTGCCTCCCCACTGCCTGCTCCTTCTCCCTTCACTGGTCCTACTGGAGGTCTTGCTGAGCATCGTGAGCCTGCGTCTCATCCTACGTCGCCTGTTCGTGCTGCTCGCACTAGTTGTCGTGTTCCGCGTCCGCGTCCTCCTGTGGTCCCAGGCACACACCAGATGGCACTCCGTCCTTCTAGTGCTCCACTGCGTGTCCCTTTACCGTCTCCTCCAGAGTCCTCTCTTCTTGCTCTTGCTGACCCGGAGTCTGACTCTCTTCGTGCTGCCAGTCCAACTGTCACGCGTCTCCTGGCTACTGTTGTCACTGACCCTTCCTTTGAGTCCACTGCTGCGTCTGCCTTGGTTGCTGAGCTTGTCGACTTTGCTGCTCACTGTCGTCTAGGCTACACTGCTAGTCTTGTTACTGAGTCTGAGTCTGTCTGTCCTCCGTCCGTCAGGGGTGAGTGTGCTCTTAGCACGGACGTCCTTGAGGACAGGCAGGAGGATTTCCAGTGTTTTACTGTTGTTTTGCCTCATCTAGTGTCCATGTTGATTGCCCCTGAGGGAGACCCGGATGCACCAGCCATCCCGACTCCTCGATCATACGCTGAGGCGATCGAGGGTCCCTACTCCTCACAGTGGCAGTGAGCCATGGACGCAGAGATGGCTTCCTTGAAGTCCACAGGCCCCTACGTCGACGAGGTTCCCCCACCTGGGGTGAACATCGTCAGTGGCATGTGGATTTTCAGGGTGAAGCGGCCGCCGGGTTCTCCGCCTGTCTTCAAGGCGCGTTACGTGGCTCGAGGCTTCAGTCAGCGGCAGGGAGTTGACTACTTTCAGACCTTCTCTCCCACCCCGAAGATGACCACTCTTCGGGTACTGCTGCACATAGCCGCTCAGCGCGACTACGAGCTTCACTCTCTTGACTTCAGCACTGCTTTCTTGCAGGGCAGCTTGCACGAGGAGAGATCTGGCTGCGTCGCCCACCTGGCTTCACTGGGTTGTTTCCTCCTGGTACCCAGTGGAGCTTCCGGCGGCCAGTCTACGGTCTCCGCCAGGCGCCCTGTGAGTGGCACGACACACTGAGGACTACACTTGCGGCTCTTGGGTTTGCTCCTTCTACTGCCGACCAGTCGTTGTTTCTGCGCACCGACACCTCTCTGGCGCCGTTCTACATCCTCGTGTACGTCGACGACTTGGTCGTTGCCACTGCTGATACTGCTGGAGTCGCCCGCGTGAAGTCCGAGCTGCAGAAGAGACACACGCGCACAGACCTGGGTGAATTGTGCAGCTACCTTGGTTTGCAGATCACCCGGGACAGAGCACATCACACCATTACCCTAACTCAGTCACACATGGTGCAGCAGGTCCTTCAGCGCTTCGACTTCACGTACTCCTCGCCTCAGGCCACTCCTCTGTCTACTCGCCACTCGCTCTCAGCTCTGCCTTCGGATGAGTCCGTTGAGCCGAGTGGCCCGTACCCAGAGCTTGTTGGCTGCCTCATGTACCTGATGACCTGCACACGGCCTGGCCTCGCTTACCCTCTTCGCATCTTGGCACGCTATGTTGCTCCTGGGAGACACCGACCAGAGCACATGGCTGCCGCGAAGAGGGTGTTGCGTTACTTGTGCAGTACGTCCGGCATGGGGCTAGTGCTTGGAGGGCGACGTAGAGTGGTCCTCACAGGTCACGCAGACGCTTCTTGGGCTGACGACCAGGCTACGCAGCGGTCGTCACAGGGTTACACCTTCAGCCTTGGTTCCGGCTCTGTTTTGTGGCGGTCTACCCGCTCGTCTTCTGTTCTCGGCTCCAGCTGTGAGGCTGAGATCTACGTGGGGGCCATGGCTGCGCAGGAGCTACGCTGACTGACCTTGGAGAGCCGCCTCGTTCTCCTCCGGTTCTGTACGTAGACAACAAGGCCATGCTAGCCTTGTGTCGGGAGCACAGACTGGAGCATAGAGCGAAGCACATTGCTCTTCGTTACTTCCTTGCTCGTGAGCTGCAGCAGCATGGCCAGCTGCGCATTGCTTACGTGGCCTCTGAGGCCAACACTGCTGATATCTTTACCAAGGTCCTTCCGCCTTGTGACCATCATCGGTGCTGTACGATACTAGGTCTTGTGCCTACTTGGCCTCACTTGCTCACTTCTTGACCTTGCTTGTACTGTGATCTTTCTATACCTGCACTTGCTTGTTTACCTTTATATATGATCTTGCACGTGAACTGGCCTTGTGGCCTTGAACTTGTGCTCGGAATGTGTGGTGACGTTGTGATCCACCCTGAGCTTGCGTTGCTTTGCTTGACTGGTCTTGTGACCCCTTGTTCTCCCCCACTTTGCCTATGGGGGTGTGTCAGATTTATATGACTTAGTCTGTGTAGGCTATAGTGGGGTAGCACATATGGGGTACAATATTTTTAGGGTTTGTACTTGTACCCAACCTCCCACTAGTCAACCATTCCTCGTTTCTCCACACCCAGCTGGATCACTGCAGCCCCTCGAGCCACCCGAACGACCGTGGCAACATGTGACAATGGATTTCGTCACAGGACTACCAGTTGGCGCAAGTGGCAACGACTCGGTACTTGTCGTCGTTGATCGCTTAACGAAAATGGCGCATTTCGCACCATGCCGCACGACGATCACAGCCGAAGAAACCGCGAAACCCTTCATCTTGACCGTCGTACGACTACCGTACGAACCAGTTACCATTGGCGATAATCTGCGACCGCGACCCAAAATTCACGTCGAAGTTCTGGCAGGAGACGTGGGCACAGTACGGCACCCGCCTGCAATTTTCGTCGTCGTACCATCCACAAACCGACGGACAGACAGAGAGGACAAACCAGACAATGGAGCAGTTGATTTGCACGAACTGCCCCGACATTACCAAGTGGGAAGATTCCGTTCCCATGCTCGAGTTTGCGTACAATAATGCCCCATCTGCAACGACCAAGCAGTCGCCGTTCTACCTGAATTACGAGATAGATCCGGTAGTACCCTCGTCAACAACTCTCGACAACCCGGTACCAAGGTCGCAGCAGTTTGTTTCGGAACTACAAGCAGCGCGCGGCAAAGCAGCGGAATTTATCCGGAACGCTAGCACGGCCGCCAGCCGCTACACCGACCGACATCGACGGAATTTACCCTTCCGTGACGGGCAAATGGTCCTCCTGGACACGAAAAACCTCAAGCTGCCCCAGCCTGCAAAACTGCGTCCTCGCTACTTGTGACCCTTTCGCATCATTCGGATGCTGACACCGGTCGCGCGAAACTTCTCCTACCGGACGACTGGAAAATCCACGACGCTTTCCACGTCAGTATACTTAGCCACTACGTGGCACCACAGTCGTCCGACGTCGCTCGACCCCACCAGGCGCCAAGTGTCTGACCTGTGGCAGATCCGACGCTTCAACCTTGGAAGATATTGAACCATCGCATTCGTGCGACCCCCGCCGGACGCCACGTCGACTTCTTACTACGCTGGGTGGATCGCACAAGCGAAGATGACACGTGGGTCCCGACTGACTCACTACAAGGGCACTCGGTACTTCGGCAGTATCTTTCTCGCAGACATGTGCCTGATATCGACCACCTTTCTTAAAGGGGGGGGGTGGGGGGGTAGTGTAAGGAATTTCGCTCATTCCTTATTAATGCATCTCTTACGCGTACAATTCCAATTTTCGGAATTCAGGCTCGGTCTGGCGACCTCGCCTTCCGAACGTCTCCCGCGTCGCCTTCGGGTTTCCCAACCCCAAACCTGCACCCAACCTTCGCGCGACTCCGCGACCTCGGCCTAGCTAGCTGTGCTATATTATGCCTAGGCCTCGTTGTTTGCTCAGTAGTAATCACTTCCGCATTATTGAGTTCTGCGCACTCTTTCATTTCACAACTCATAACAGTAGCAATCCAGTGAATATATGAAAGTCGGAAGATGCACATGTAACACGAGGTCGCAGGTGTTCTCTGCTGGTTGAAAGCTTAGGTTGGGAGAGCAGGTCCGGGTGATCGATTCTGCTTTCTTTCTGCCCCTCGCCTCTTCGCCATCTGTGTTTTGCAAGCAAACCCCAGAGTGCTCAGGCTAGGGTCCCAGGCGGCTAAGGGTTTATTCCAGGGTTAATGTGCGGTAGTAGTAGATTATAGACATCACGCCGTTGCTTGCTGCTAATGGTACGTTTCTTGGTGCTTTCCGTGTCGGCACGTCTGCATGCTGCAACTGTTCTGGAATTGATGTCGTCTCGCGCGTTTCTCTCGTCCTGCGCCATTGGCGGGTCGTTTCTGATGCGCAGGCGTTATTTCTGTTGTTCGAGTCGTCGTCAGGCTACGGCCTGTTCGAAGTCAAGGCGCTGGACGAGTTGGCGCAGAGCTCAGACGCTGTCCAAGCGTCCGTGGCGGATCTCACTCGCTTCAGCCAGGTCGTCAATCTCTCCGCATTCAAACCCTTCAGCTCGGCGGCAGACGCGCTCGAGCAATGCAACGCCGTCTCTGAAGGTACGCTCTTTGTTCTCCGTTCCATCTCCTCGTTCTCGCGTCTTTCCGTGCGGCGCCCTCCGCTAGTGTTATCCGCACAGACCGTCTTAGCGCACTGGGTATGTCCTTCGGGTGCGTGTTGCGTGTGGCGGCGTGCGCTCGTGCTGAGTCTTGCCGACGGAGCTCACGCTGTTGCGCGTACCGCGCGGCTGTGCTGGTGCGTGTGTTTCGTTCTTGCAGGGCTGTTGACCCCGGAGCTGCAGAGCTTTCTGGAGATGAATCTGCCCAAGGCGAAGGGCAAGGCGGGCAAGAAGCCGTCGTACCAGCTGGGCGTGTCGGAGTCGAAGCTCGGCTCCGCCATTCAGGAGACGGCGGGCGTGCCGTGCGTCAGCAACGACCTCGTCATGGAGCTCATGCGCGGCGTGCGGCTGCACTTCGCGCGGTTCGTGAAGGAGCTGAAGGAGGGCGACGTGGCGAAGGCGCAGCTGGGGTTGGGGCACAGCTACAGCCGCAGCAAGGTGAAGTTCAACGTGAACCGCGTCGACAACATGATCATCCAGGCCATCTCGCTGCTCGACACGCTCGACAAAGACGTCAACACCTTCTGCATGCGCGTCAGGTGACTTCAACGTTCCACCTTCCCGCTCGCCCCGTGCGCATTCGCCGTGCAGTTGCGGCGTCTTTGGCTGGATGTGCTTGTTTGAGCCACGCGAGACGCGGAGCGCCCAAATCCCCGGAACCTTGAGACGCTCCTCTCGCGTCAATTCCCCCTGCAGCCCCTCTCATCGCGTGTCTGTGCGCACTCGTCTTTGTGTGTGCCCTTGTCTGCGTGGCGGCGCAGGGAGTGGTACTCGTGGCACTTCCCCGAGCTCGCGCGCATCGTGACGGACAACTACACGTACGCGCGCGTGGCGCGGCGCGTGAAGGATAAGGCGACGTTGACGGAGGAGGCGGTGGCGGAGCTGACGGAGATCATCGGCGACGAGGACAAGGCCAAGGAGGTGCTCGACGCCGCCAAGGCCAGCATGGGTCCGTGCGGGGGCGGGGGCGTGGGGAGGAAGGCGAAAGGGAGGGATGTTGTGTTGCTGGCTGGGGCCAGGCAGGGGGGCACGCAGGGCATCGCGGCGAGAGATGGGGCGCGTAAGCAGAGGAGCGAGGAGGGTTGCAGAGGCAGCAGGAGGGAGGGTGGGGGTGGGGAAGTGCGGGGCAGGGGTTTAGGCAGTGGTGTTGGCGTGAGAGTTTGCTGGTGGGGCGGCGATTTGAAATTTGCTGCATTCGCGTTCGAGCGCCAGGTTCCTTGCGTACTCCCCTCGCCCCCTCCGCGCTTTCCCCCGCCCCATCCATCCATGCAGCTCCCTTCCGCTCCCCTCCTCCTCAACCTCACCGCCCTCCCCGCTCCCTCTCAGCGTCCCCCAACCTCCGCCCTGCGCTGCCCCCTTACCCTCCTTCGTTACCCCCCTCTCCCCCTCCCCCCCTGCTACCCCCCCCCACAGGCCAGGACATCTCGCCGATCGACCTGATCAACATAGAGGCGTTCGCGTCGCGCGTGGTGGCGCTGGTGGAGTACCGGCGCGACCTGCACTCGTACCTGTCCGCCAAGATGCACGACGTGGCGCCCAACCTCGCCGCGCTGATCGGCGAGATGGTGGGCGCGCGCCTCATCTCGCACGCGGGCAGCCTGACCAACCTCGCCAAGTACCCTGCCAGCACCGTGCAGATCCTCGGCGCCGAAAAGGCGCTCTTCAGGTACGCACCCGCCCTGCACGCACCAGGCAGGCACCCCCCTTGGCAATGCGCCCAATGTACCCTCACATGTTCCCGTTTCTACCATAATTCTCCTCCCACACACCTCTCCCCCTCTCCTTCCGGCCGCCCCCCCCATCCCTCATCTCACAATTCAAACCTGTTCCGAAATTATTCCCCCCACCTCCCCCTCTGGGCAGGGCACTGAAGACGAAGGGCAACACGCCCAAGTACGGGCTCATCTTCCACTCGTCGTTCATCGGCCGCGCGTCCGCCAAGAACAAGGGGCGCATCAGCCGCTACCTCGCCAACAAGTGCTCCATGGCCTCGCGCATCGACTGCTTCTCAGGTGCCGCCCACCCATTCTCATTAATTCTTGTGGTGATGCTGCCACCCCCCCCCCCCCCCCCCCCCCCCCCCCCCCTCGTTTCTGCAAGCCACAGTTGTCAGCTGGCCTGCTGTGCTCTGGCTGCCCACCAACTCATCTGTTCCTCTCTCACTCTTGTCCCCTCCTCCCACTCGTGCCACGGGTGCTGCTGTGCTCGCAGAGGCATCGACGAGTGTGTTTGGGGAGAAGTTGAAGCAGCAGGTGGAGGACCGCCTCGAGTTCTACGACAAGGGCGTGGCGCCCAAGCGCAACCTCGACGTCATGAAGGCCGCCATCTCCGCCGCCAAGGCCGAGGCGCAGGCCGACGCTGATGTCGGCTCCAAGCGCCCTGCAGGTGGGCTCCCCTCCCGGGTGTGTCCTCATGACACGGTGGCAGGGTTGTTGGTGGGCAACATTTGATGACTTGGGTGCTCCCCTGGTACATGCGATGAACCCAGTGCAGCACACTTGAGTTGCTTGGCACATCGTCACCTCAACCCATGCCTTGCCATGTGCTGGTTTGCTCAACCCGTCCTTGCATTCTTGTATTCTTGTACTGCTGTGGCTGTTGCGTGCTGGCAGAGGGAGAGGCAGCAGCAGGGGGTGCAGCAGAGGGGACACCAAAGAAGAAGAAGAAAAAGGCAGCAGCGGAGGCGGATGGGGAGACGCCAGGCAGTAGCAAGAAGAGCAAGAAGAAGGTGAAGGATGCGGCTGCAGGGGAGGCAGCAGCAGCCAGTGCTGAGAAACCAAAGAAGAAAAAGAAGGCTGCCGCCACATAGCCTTGGGGAGATTTTTTGAATTACCAAATACCGGTAGCCACTAGGAAGCTGATGGATAGCACACATTTTGGACTTACCCAAATTGTATAATGATTTTTTCACACCATGTGAGGCAGGCAACGAGTTGACTGCTCGACACGAGTACACGGTAAATCATAACAGAGCAAGAGCGGAAAGGTGGGTTGGTTACTGCTTGTGAGCGTCATGCATGTGGTGTGTTCCGCGTGCCGCCATTTTCACCGAGTGTTCGTCCTCCGTTGAAGCTCCTCCCCCACCGCCTTGTATTAGCACTCAAATTCTTCACGAACGCTCTTCTGCTCCGCCGCTTCTCCGTCTGCGCCTCTCCGCGTGTGCCTAGATCGTTACCGATTCCCAACAATGCGTTCATAGAAACCTCGAGCCACTAATGCGCGGGCGACAATGCGCTTCCACGTCACACCGCGTAAGCGTCTCGGGAAACGACCTCCCGTACTGTTGTGATCCCCCAGACGCGAATGCGTGTGTACCATCCCCCATGGATCACATCAGTCAACCTCCCTCCTTCTCTTCCCCCCATCCTCTTCGCCTTCCACCGCATTCCGCAAGCGTCACCCTGCCACCCAATTCCTGCCACCCCTCTCCCCGCCACCCCACTCCCTGCGACCTCTCCAGGCGACTTCTACCCGCATCGATCCACCGCCGCCACTGGCGCGCCCGCTGCCGCCGGGGCATCCGCCGAGCCCCGCCCCTGGTTGAGGTACGCACCAGGCGCGCGCCCGCTTTGTCCCACACCCGTGCGCATTGCTCTCCCCTCAACTACCCCCTCCACGTGCGCGCGTGCCCGACCCCTCTAGCAGTGCGGCGTGCGCGTGGGCGGCGCCGTTCGCCCTGGGCGCCGTGGTGGGCGCCGTGGCGTGCTCGCTGCTGCTGCTGCCCCTCGCACTCGCGCCGCTGGACGCGCAGGGGGGAGACGAGGAGCTCCTACTGCAATCACACGCGGACACGTGGCAGGAGGGGCAAGGGGCGTGGCAGGGGGGAGCGGCAGCATCGTGGGAGCAGCCTGTGGTGCCCCACCCGCCTGCCACTGCTGCGAGCGGCGCACTGCCCTTGGCTCCCCTCGCTGCCCTTGACTCCGGCGGTGCAGCTGCCAGTGGTGGTGGTGCGGGTGAGAGCGATGGTGACACGGAGGCAGCAGAGGTGTGGGCAGGAGATGCTGCCATGCGTCATCTGCAAGGCAGGTGGGTGTCACGCAAGGCAGGTGGGTGTCACGCAAGGCAGGTGGGTGTCACGCACGCCTGCTACCCGCACGCACCTCTCGTCCCCTCGCCCACCTCCTGGCCCTGCACGCTCTTCCCCCCTTCTCTGCCAATACCCTCAGCAGGCACTCAGCACGCACCATGCACGCTGTTAGCGCGCCACAGATGCTTCCCGTCCCTTGTCGCCCTGCATCTGCATGCGCGCCCCCTGGCAGGCACCCAGCAGTGCGCGCGCTGGTGGAGGCGAACGGGCAGGTGATGCGGCAGCAGCGGCAGGCGGTGGCAGTGGCGGAGGAGGACGAGAGGGGCATGCACGCCGTGCTCACTGCCGCCCTGCAGGTGATGGCATGCACGCCGTGCTCACTGCCGCCCTGCAGGTGATGGCATGCACGCCGTGCTCACTGCCGCCCTGCAGGTGATGGCATGCACGCCGTGCTCACTGCCGCCCTGCAGGTGATGGCATGCACGCCGTGCTCACTGCCGCCCTGCAGGTGATGGCATGCACGCCGTGCTCACTGCCGCCCTGCAGGTGATGGCATGCACGCCGTGCTCACTGCCGCCCTGCAGGTGATGGCATGCACGCCGTGCTCACTGCCGCCCTGCAGGTGATGGCATGCACGCCGTGCTCACTGCCGCCCTGCAGGTGATGGCATGCACGCCGTGCTCACTGCCGCCCTGCAGGTGATGGCATGCACGCCGTGCTCACTGCCGCCCTGCAGGTGATGCGCGGCCGGGGGGAGGCAGGGCAAGGGGATAGCTTTTGAGTCAGCCGGCTCAAAATTACAGATTTGTATTGGAGGGTTGAAAGGGGAATGGTGGCTGTTTAAGGGAGCGTGATGAAAGGGGATGCGTGGCGGATGATGCGTGGTATGAGCGGAGCACTTGAGTCATCTCGTTCCCGTCACCAACTTCTCTCTCGCCCTGTGCTACTGCCTTGCTCCAGGAGCTGGAGAGGGAGCGTCTCATGCCACATGGCACCGTGTCATTGGTGCAACCGGAATCCCTGGCGGCGCTGGCAGAGGCAGTGAGGGCGAGGCAGGGGGAGGCAAGCAAGGCAGGCGCGGAGGGGCAGGCAGCAGGCGCCGCAGCAGGCGCATTGCAGACAGCAGAGCATGCGGTGGTTGGTGCAGTGGCAGCGGGGGGAGGGCAGACGGCGGACTTGCCATCCCTTGTCAGCCAGGCACAGGCGGCTGGGCGCGTGGGGGGGCGCATGGGGCATGGTGCAGCAGGGGCGAGCGCAGGAGAGGGGCAGGGGAAGGTTGCAGCGGATGGGGAGATATGGGGCGGTGGGGGGGAAGGGATGAGGCGGTGCATGGTGCTGCAGTGTGCGGTGGAGAGACAGCAGCGGGCAGTCGCTGCAGGTGCGTTGAGGGTCCCAACACACAGGGCGGGCTGGGCTGGCTTGGGGGATGACCATGGGAAACCACGTGTGGCAGAAGGAAGGCTGGCATGTGCGTGTGGCAGTGGTGGCATGTGCGTGTGGCAGTGGTGGCATGTGCGTGTGGCAGTGGTGGCATGTGCGTGTGGCAGTGGTGGCATGTGCGTGTGGCAGTGGTGGCATGTGCGTGTGGCAGTGGTGGCATGTGCGTGTGGCAGTGGTGGCATGTGCGTGTGGCAGTGGTGGCATGTGCGTGTGGCAGTGGTGGCATGTGCGTGTGGCAGTGGTGGCATGTGCGTGTGGCAGTGGTGGCATGTGCGTGTGGCAGTGGTGGCATGTGCGTGTGGCAGTGGTGGCATGACAGGCATGCATGCATGCAGCACGTGCTCTGTACACTGCACTCCGTCCTGTCCCTCCCTTCTCCACTTCTCGCCCTCCCATTCCCCCTCATTCCTCTCTCGCCCCATACCCCATGCCCCGTGCGCGTTGCCCTCGTACCCCGTTATGGCAGCGCGGGCGCGGGTGGAGGCGGAGCAGAGGGCGGGCAAGGCGTGGGCGGTGCTGCAGCGGCAGCAGCAGTGGGGCGAGGGCGAGGGCGCAGGCAGCGTGGCGGGGGAGGCGGTGCGCGCCGGCACAGTGGTGACAGTGGGGGATGTGGAGGCCAACCTCACTGCCTCGCCCTCTGATGCCCGTGCGCTGCTGCCTTACATGCATGCACATGTGCACACATGCTCCCATCCACCCTTGCACCCATGCGCCCATGCACACCTGCACATATGCACTTCTGCACCCATGCACATCTGCACACATGCACTTCTGCACCCATGCACAGATGCACTGGTCGTGTGCGTTATTCAGGTGGGCGTATCTGTCCTTGTGTGCTTCAGTCAGCCCCATCTGACATCCCTTGTCACATGCCAGGTTCTTCCCCAATCGCCATTCTTCCCTTCCCATACCCCCCCTGCACCATGCTACCCCCGTGCCCACATGCCGCACCTCCCCCACCCCGGCCAGCGCACGTGGACTCCTTCCACCGCCTGCTGCTCTACCTGCGCCCGCTCTCCTCGCTCTTCTCGCTGCCCCTCGCTGCCCTCCTCTCCCCCAACGACACCCACCCACTCGCCCCTCGCCTGCAATCCCTCATCGACGCCACGTCAGCACGCCTGCAAGCCGCCTCTGCCAGCCTGGCGGCGGCCCAGTCAGCCTTGGAGTGGTCGGAGCGGCGGCTGTGGCTGCGGTGTGGCGTGAAGGCCGGGGCCACGGTGTGGGAGGAGCGGCACGACGGCGAGCTGCAGCGGTACAGAGCGGTGGCGGGGGCAGCGTTTGACAAGTGGTGTGTGGCGTGGGGAGAGGCTCGCCCCTCTCACCGCCTCACGGTTGCCCTCACTGCCCCGCCTCACCTCTGGTGGCGCGGCGGCTTGTGGGATGGCGAGCAAGGAGCAGCTGGGGCGGAGGGTGGTGCTGCAAGCGAGAGAGGAGGGGGGGTGGATGCAGGCAGTGCAGCAGGCGAGGGGGAGAGGGATGCTCCCGAGATCTCCTTTCTGCTGCTGGCAGATCCAGGAGCAGCGCAGCCTGCGGTGGTAGCAGTGGCGCCAGAGCAGGTGGTGCAGCGTCTTCATGCCTGCGCCTCCACACTGCCTCGCATGCGCCCAGCAGCAGCAGCAGCAGCAACATCAGCACCCAACCCCACCCCAGATGCTGAAACTTCTCCTTCCATTCCTCACATGGGCCCTCCCCTAGCGGAGCTGCTGCTGCTGCTGCCACCCGTCAGCACCCACGCAGGGCAGCAGGGCGACGAGCAGGGCGAGGGGCAGCCAAGCGACAAACAATGGGGCGAGGGGCAGCAGGCAGGTGGGGTGGAGGCGTGGCAAGCGGCGGGTCGCAGCATTGACCCGCAGCTCATGCTCGTGCTGCCGCTCGTGGCGCCTCATGCTCATGGTGCTGCCGTGCAGGTGAGCGGCGCAGAGGGTGGTGGCGGCGAGGCGGCAGAGGGCGGTGCGCGTGCAGCGGGGATGGCCCCGATGTCGGAGTGGGAGGGATTCGAGCTGCTGGCCCGCGCAGCCACTGGCCGCCTGCTGCTCCTGCTGACGTGGCGGGACCTGCCAGCTGTGATGCATGGGGAGGGCGAGGAGGGGTGCGAGTGGCTGGAGCAGCTGACTGCAGGGATGGCCGAGGATGGGCGCATGGGGGTGGTGGGCGTGCGGACAAGCAGAGTGGAGAGGGGCGTGGGGAGGGCAGAGGAGGAGAGGGGGGGCAGGCAAGGAGAATTGGAGGGGGAGGTGGGTGGTGGGGCAGTGGTGGCAGCAATGGCGCAGTGGGGTGTGGTGGGCAAGGAGGGAAAGGACGGGGCAGGTCTGAGTGGGAGTGGTGATGCAGGCAAGGGGGCGGCAGGGGGCAGAGAGGAGGCAGGGAGGCGCCTCACAGGCTACGTGGACGGCACTCCCCTGCTTGTGCGCCGCCACGCCCTCATGACACTTGGCGGGCTGGGATTGGCTCCCGGAGCACCAGCTGCAGGCGCGGCAGCAGCAGTGGCAGGTTGGGCTCTGTGCACGCGCATGTGGCTGGCTGGATTCAGGGTGAGGGCAATGCGCGCATTCACGGGACACACTTTGGGGCCTTTTGGATGAGACACCTGGGCGTTATAGTGAAGGAGCCATGGGCTTCAAAATGATGCAGCCATGTGCATCACCACATGCAGTCCAAGCCAGGGATTAGATGCTACCAGGATTAGGGCGTATTCCTGAGCTCGTGTCATCCGGTGTTGGTGTCATCCGAAAACTTTGGAACGCACGTGATTGGCCCGTTGTAAGTTTTGGGCCAATCGCGTGCGTTCCAAAGTTTTCGGATGACACCAACACCGGATGACACGAGCTCAGGAATATGCCCTTAGATGCTACCAGGGATTAGATGCTACCAGGCATTAGATGCTACCAGGGATTAGATGCTACCCAGGATTAGATGCTTCCAGGGAGATGCTACCAGGGTTTCTTTCCTTCCACCTGCCTGTGTTGGCCCCTTCACAACTGCCTTCGTGCACTGCACATGCCTGTTCCTCAACTGTTAGTTTCTCTGCTCGATCAGCTTACTCCTCAACTGATACACTGCTCCCATCCGCTCCCCTCCCCTCTTTTTGCCGTTCCCCCCTCACTTTTTTCCTCTCTCCCTCCTTCGTCTTCATCCTTGCTCCTTGCAAGTTTTTCGTATCACATCGCACGCCTTGCAACCTTTTTCCACGAGCCCAAGCAATCCTCGATTGTTGTTGGGCCATGCTTACAATAAGTCAAACTCACGCTGGCGGCCTTATATGCACAGTTGTATAAGTGTGTACTTAGTAAAACTGATGCTTTACAAGCTAAAATGAGAGGCTAACATAGTGCAGACTAGTTGAACTGTAGTGAGGGCTTTTTTGGTTGTTTGCTTGTTTGTTTGTTTGTTTGTTTTTTAATAGGACCAGACGAGCGCAGCCACATGACCCGGCGAAAGAAAAACGTCAGGAACAAGCGCTTCCACCCCTAAAAAGCGGAAGGATCCGCACATGTGCTGGAAGTGCAGCGAACGTTCTTCATTTGCAAGCACCGATGACCAATGATGTTCGCAATGTGAGAAATGTACGAGGAATGAATGAGCTAAGAATGAGGTGGGTACAAGTATGAAAATTTAAAAGTATTGTACCCCATATTGTCTACCCCACTACAGCCTACAATATAGTTCTGACACACCCCCATAATCAAAGTGGGGGACAAGCAAGAGAACAAGACAACGTCAAGCTCAGGGTGGATCACAACGTCACCACACATTCTGAGCACAAGTTCAAGGTCACAAGGCCAGTTCATATACAAGATTATAAATCAAGGTGAACAAGCAAGACATTGATCTCAATCTAGCAAAGGTAAGCAAGCAGGTGCAGGTATATATAGACCACAATACAAGCAAAGTCAAGAGGTAAGCAAGTGAGGCCAGGTAGGCACAAAACCTAACATAGTACACAAACGCTGATGATCACAAGGCTGAAGTGCCTTGGTAAAGATATCAGCAGTGTTGGCCCGAGTGGCCACGCTGCTGCAACTCTCGAGCAAGGAAGTAGCGTAGAGCAATGTGCTTCGTTCTGTGCTCCTGACACAAGGCCAGCATGGCCTTGCTGTCTACGTACAGAACTGGAGGAGAACGAGGCGCCTCTCCCAAGTCGGTCAGCAGGTAGGTAAGCCAGCGTAATTCCTGTGCAGCCATGGCCCCTGCGTAGATCTCAGCCTCACAAATGGACCTGAGAACAGAAGACGAGCGGGTAGACCACCAGTAAACTGCTTGAGCTGGTCTACTTGACTCACAAGTGCTTGTGTGCTTGCAGCCATCATCCTGCGGTTGCTGCAACCACTGCCTCCCGTGAGTGCTGGAGGTGAGGGGAGAAGGGATTGCAAGGAAGAGGAAGAGAGGCGTGAGGATGTGAAAGAGTAGATGCTAGCTGGAGAAGGGACTAAGACAAAAAGCAATGCACGGTGCATTCGGCCTGCTGCTGCATCTTCACTTCAGTCCAAGTTACCTCTTTCTTGGAAGAGATTGAATCGTCCCCACCCAAGAGCAGGCAGGTTCACAAAGAGCAATCCGCCACACTCCAGAGCTTGAAAGCTGAGAGGAACACTCACAGGCACGCACACACGCATACGCACACATGCACACCCCCAACCCCCTTACTCCCTTCCCCCTGCCCACACGCACATCACAGTCCCTGTCCACTCGCTGCCATTCCCGTCCGCCTAGCAGGACATGAGGCACACACAAGCATGGGGAGAGAAAACACGCATAGAAGCGGCGAGCAAGGGAGGGTTAGGAGCAGCGGGAGAGGAGGCGTGTGGCAAAGACAAGAACAAGAGACATGACTATTGCCTCTGCGCGGCGACACTCTACGACTCGTTTCACGGCCCCCCAGCTAGCACCCCCTGGCACGTACCATGCTCAGTCTACCACGCCTTCTCTTCCAGCGTGATGTTCCAGGCGGCTCTGTTGCTGCTGCGCCAAGCCTTCGTTCCAAGCACCGCCGCTTGTTGCTGTTGCTCCAGGCGCCCTGCCGCTATTCGTGCTCCCGGTTGCTCCGTTGCTTCTGCTACTGCAGTTGTTGCTGCCGTCGCAACCACCGGTCGCTGCAGGGAGGAGGAGAGGACAGGCGCGGAGGGGTTAGGGAGCTGAGAAGAGTGGCATGATCATCTGAGAGCACCACTGCAAAGACTCATCTCATGGCACGTGGAAAAACGGTAGACAAGAGAGAACGGAACACTGAAAGCAGGAAGATGGTGAAAAGTGAAACGTGAAGTGGTGAAGTGCTTGACCTGATCCACTCACAACCTCTTGTGTGCTTGCCATCATCCTGCAGTTGCTGCAGCCACTGGTGATCCCCTTCCACTCGCTGACTCCCCTTCCACTCGCTGACACCCCCGTCCATCTCGCAGGACATGAAGCACACACACGCATGGGGAGAGAGAGACACATGCAGAAGCGGCACAACAAGGGAGGGTTAGGAGCAGCAGGAAAGGAGGCGAGTGGTGGAGGCAAGAGCAATAGACATGACACTTGCCTCTGCGCGGCGACACTTCACGGCCCCCCTGCAAGCATCCCCTGGCACGTACCACTCCCGCACCATGCCTTCACTTCAGGCGTGCTGCTCTGAGCCATGCCTTCACTTCAGGCGTGCTGCTCCAGGTTGCTCCCCTTTCTCCTCGCAGTAAGGTCATCTCTCGTGCAGCCATGTCGACTCCCCGTCTCGCTGACATTCCCGTCCGCCTTGCAGCCCATGAGGCACACACACGCACGGGGAGAGGGACACGCACACACGCAGAGGCGGTGCAACAAGTGATGGTCAGAAGCAGCAGGAGGCGAGTGGCGGAAGCAACGGCAACAGACACGGCAACGGAAGTGGGGGGAGGAAGGGTGGCAAGGACGAGGAACAGAGGCGTGAGCAAGGAGAGGAGAAGCTAGTGGATGAGGGGCTGCGGCTGTGAAAGAGCACCGGCAAGGCAGAAGAGATGGCAAATGGCAGCTGGAGAAGGGACTGAGACAAGGCACAATGGAGGATGCGCTCACCTTTTGCAAAATGGAGAAATGGAGAAATGGAGCCCATTGGTTGAGAGCCTGGCGAACGGTGGTGGGCTCGACCAGCTGCTGGTTACCCCGAACGGCAGTGGAGAAATATTTCTCCACCTTCTTGGGGTACTGGAGCTGGAGGTGCTGCGGGCGCTGGGCCTACCACTGGGGGTACTGGTGCTGTCCCTGCTGTGTCTGGAGTCGCTGCGCGGCCTCGGCCGTACTTCGTTCTGCTCCTTGAGCAGGTTCTTGGTCTCCCGCCTTCTACTGGTCCTCCTCCTTCCTTAGAGTGTCCACAGCCTGTCCCGTCACAGTCACAGTCACAGCCTGCCTGTGAGAGTACGACGGCTTATGCCAGTTATGCTTGCTTGCCTTTACTTTATTATGCTATTTCTAGCATAGGATAATTATATACATGCATGAATTGCTTGATTTCCTAGGCTAGGTGCTTTCCTATATTTTATTATAGTTATAGCACCGAGCTAGGTTGCGTGCACCGAATTCTGGCTTTTCGGTTGCCACTGAATTGCCTTCTACCGAATTCGGGAAGGATCTGTTCGGGACGCTTCGCGACCCGCGGAACCTTCGCGTAACACCTGGTTACAGGGCCTTGTGTCGAGCCTATATATAGCCTCGTGTTGTACCCAGGTGATCAATTCAATTCACATTCTCTTTTCTGAGCTCGATCCTCGATCCTCACACTTGGTAATCCGAGCCTGTTCGAAGCGAAGTTTTTCTACCGCTAAAACACAGCTTTTAAAACCGAGGGGGGTGACGACGGAAAGCGCCAATTTCGGGTATGTAAACCAGTTCCGCGCTATTTTCTAACGTCCCCCTCGAACCGGTTTTCGAACACTCCTCAGGTCCAGTGGCGAAAAAGTTGGAATTTCTACCGTCGGATCGATTCGAATCTCAACGGCCCTGGGAATTTCGACCAAAACGGTTGGAATTTGGAGCGTCGGATCGAATTTCTTCTCATCGGCCGAGATCGGACGCGAATTTTGACTGAGGGAGAATTACGCGACCTACAGAATCAACGCTCGTCAATTCTACATTCGATTCAACTCACAGTAAGATGACCAGCGCCTAGAATTCAATTATTTTCGTCGCAAATCTTCCTGTACATCGCCAAATGGAGGAAAATGGTGATAATTCCGTACGAAAAATTACGGAGTTATACACCGGCCTGGACCAGACGCGAGCGGCACTCCAGCGAATAGAGGAGCTTCTCGCGAACCTGTTGGTAGCCGCCACAGCAGCAACGAACGTAGCAGCGAATGCAGCAGCGACGCCAGCAGCAGCAGTAGCGACACCGACACTTCACCCAGCAGCAGTGGCAGCAGCTACAGTGAATCTTGAGGCGGCACGTCCGTGTCAAACATCATATATGTTGTTGTAGTTGTTTAGGCTACAATGGGTTAGCCTATAGGGGGTACACATTTCTAGGTTTTCATACTTGTACTCATTTCACTGTTAGTTCATTCATTCTTGTTCAACATGGTATAGAGCAGGTCCTTCCTAGGACCGTTTTTCCTTAGGGCCCACCACTACCTAC